CTACCTCCTTCTTATTTTTTTATTTTTCCTCGTCGCCGAAAGTCAGTTCGGGCCGATGGCGAGGGACAGCTACCCAGCAGCCACCTCCATCAGGGCCCGCAGTGAAGGTAAATCCCGTTGACAGCTGTCGCTGTGCCGGGCTCCGCCGAGAGGGGGCCGTAGTGAGTCCCCGGGAGCCGGAGGGGCGTGGCCATGCCGCCTCCCTGGGCCTGCGGAGAGTCCTCCGTGCTCTCCCTTGGGTGACCTGCTTTTTCTTCAGCTCCAAGGGGGAAGACTTCTTTGGAGAACTGTCATTATTTTTACCCTAGGGTCCTCACGTAAATACTCAGTCCTACTTATTTCATTGTCAAAGTTCTCTCTATTACATTTTTCCCCCCCCAGAAACTAGCAAACATTAGAATATTCTGAGATGAACTAAAGGTTTCAATTTTCTAAGTCTTTTGTGGAGGGGTTGAACCCAGAGCTTCCTGCGCGCGAGGGAGAATCCCCAGCCCCCTTGCTACAGCTTAATTACTTGCAGAACAATCGAGGAGAAAATAGGGTTAGGACTGGGCAGTGTTACTGGCTCCTCATTTCAGACATAGGAGACCCCAAAGTCTAGCACTAGGACACACTGTGGGGGCGGCCCCCAACTTAGGGACTGAGAATTAAGCTCAGTGGGAGAGCACATACTTGAGGCCCTGGGTTCAATCCTTATGCCCAGGAAAGGGGAAGGGAAGGAAAGGAAAAAAATTCCAGTCCAGTATTCTGTTCACAGTCTGAGGCTATATTTAACCTTTACCCACTGGAGAGAAATTGTAGCGATGAAAGAAGACATTGACTCCACTGAGCCAGAGTATCCTCAGGAAGAGGCAGCTGTGCAACCATAATTTAGAGCTTACAGCTTTTTACCGTCAAAGTATATGAGACCTGGAGTCATCAATTGATGTCGGCACTGACTGGAAATATTTCTTAGCCATATAACACCAAAGAAACTTTTTTTTTTCTTTCAGTATTAGGGATTAGACCCTGGGCCTTTGCACTGAGCCACATCCCCAGCTCTTTTTAGTGTATGTGCTGTCGAAGCGAGCACCCCAGCTCTTTTTAAATTTTGAGGCAGAGTCTCACTGAGTAGTTGCTAAATTGAGCAGGCCAGGCTCAAACTTGCAATCCTCCCGCCTCATGTTCCCTGAGTGCTGGAGCTACAGGAGTCCACCACCATGCCTAGGCATAATTTCACCTTTTGTGGAACATTTTAAATAATGCCAGAGAGAAAAGGAAGCAATTAGCTATGTTTGCTATTAAAAATATGAAGGGGGTGGGAATGTAGTTCAGTGGTAGAGTGTACATATGGTTAGCATGCTTGAGGCCCTGGATACAACCACCAGGGCAAAAAAAAAAAAAAAAAAAGAGGTACCAATTTATATTAAAACCTCAGTTTAAAAATAATTTAGGTGGAGCCAGGGATTTAGCTCAGTGGTGCCACCGCCTGCCTTGCAAGTGCAAGGTCCCAAGTTGATCCCCAGTACCAGAAAAAAAATTTAGGTGATTGGACATGGTGGTACACACCTACAATCCCAGGAATCAGGAGGCTGAGGCAGGAGGATCGCCATGAGTTCAGGGCCAGCCTAGGCTACATAGTGAGTTTCAGGCCAATCTGAACTTCATAGCAAGGTCTGTCTCAAAAAAAAAAAGTATACAAAAAAAAAAAAAGTATTCAGATGACTATAGTAGAATGCATAACAACACCAAAGATATTAGATCCTGGTCCCTGGAACCTGAAAATGTTGCTTTATATGGAAAAAGGTCTCTGCAGATGTGATGAAATTGAACTGTGAGATGAAGTGCTTAACCTGGATTACCTATGTGTGCCCTAAAAACAATCACAACTGTTTATAAAAGAGAGCTAGAAGGAAAATTGATACCCACGGAGGAGGAAAAGGAGATGTGACCACAGAGGCAGAACTGAGTGGGCCAGGGAATGGAGCCTGCACAGGGAACATGGTCCTGTCTGCCACACCCTGATTTCGCTTCTGATACTGATTTCTGACTTCCCGACTCCAGACCACGAGAGAATACGTTGCTATTGTTTTAACCCACTAATTTGGTACTGCAGCAAAAAGAAACTAATATAATGACTTACTTTGACTATTCATCGGCTAAACCCAACAGGCCCCTCAGAAGTGGAAAATATCTTAAATCAAACTTTTTTTAAAGAAGCCAAGCATGGTGGTACACACCTGTAATCCCAGCCACTTGGAAGACTAAAACAGGAAGGATCACAAATTTGAGGCCATCCTGGGCAATTTAGCAAAACCCTATTTCAAAATAAAAAATAAGCCAGGCATAGCATGCACATCTGTGTCCCAGCACTGAGGAAGTCTGAGGCGAGGCGGAAAGGTTAGGAAGTTCAAGTCCCTCCTGGGCAACTTAGTGAAAGCCTATCCCAAAATGAAAGACAAAAAGGCCTGGGGATGTAGCTCAGTGGTAGAGCACCTGGGCTGGACCCCCAGTATCACACACAAAAGGAACTGAATATACCTAACCTCCTGGGCATCAGCTCCCTGCCGAGCATCAGTTGTCCCCCTCCTGGTCCTGGGCCAAAGGAAGTGGCAGCTCCCTGCTGCCGCCCAGCATCTGAGAGGGATTGCAGATCTATCACTAGCATGGGAGAAGACCGAAATTCAAAATCCAATGTGCGAGTCCTACTGCATGCACATTGCTTTCACACCATTGCAAAATAAAGAAAAAGAATAGTAAACTGAGCCGTCATCAATCTGGACAATCTGTAACTGCACTTGGCAAGAAATAACTCCACTGCGGGACCAAGATGCACTCTAACGATAAAGTACAATGTAATTTTCTCTACAAAACAATTCACAAAGGGCTTGAAAACAGCAATTCCCCTAATTGCCTTTAAAACAGGCAATTTATAAAAGCAAATATTTTACACACAACATTTCAAAAACATTTGTGTAACAGAAGCCTCGTAGTTTTAGCTCTACCAGTAAGGTAATGGCTCCCATTTTCAGATCTATAGCCCAGGTGACTTCTGTACACCTGCCACATGTACATACCCACCTCCTGCCTTCTTCACGCTGTCACTTGGATTCCAATCGACATCTCTAAAGTGCATCTAGACTGAAGCTGCTCCACTGTTTCCCCTCCCACCCTGCTTCTTCCAGATCTGCTGCAGTGTGGTCAGTGGCAAGTCCATCCCTCCAGATGCTCAGGCCAAAGATCTTGCAGGCACATTTAACCCTTTTTCTCTCACATCCATCAGCACATTGTTTTAAAATAAAATTTTTTTTTTTTGAGATAGCATCTCACTATGTAGTCCCGGTTGCTTTGAATTTGCGACCTTCCTGACTCTGCCTCCCGAGTGCTGGGATTATACATGTGTGCCACCAAGCCCAATCACACTGATTCTTTTAGCGTATAAGTCAGCTCATGTCATTCTGTTGCCCCAAACCTACACTGGCTTCCCACCTCACTCAGATTAAGAACCAAGTCATGGGCGGGGGATTTAGCTCAGTGGTTTCACTGCCTGCTGTGCAAGCGCAAGGACCCAAGTTCAATCCCCAGTACCAAAAAAAACACAAAAAAACAAAAAACAACAACAAGAAGAACCAAGTCTTCATGCAATGACCAAATCAGCCTAAACTCCCTCTCCTATACCTGCAGCCCACACTCACTCTGGTCTGTTCACTTAGACCTCCTTGTTTCTTCTTCACAGTGTAGGTGCTCTCACCTCCCAGTTCTTTTTTTTTTTTTTTTGGTACCGGGGATCGAACTGGGGTCCTTGCACTTGTGCAGCAGGCGGCAAAACCACTGAGCTAAATCCCCGGCCCTTGCCTCCCAGTTCTTGAACCTGCTGTGGCCTCTATCTGACATCTTTGTCTCCCAGCTATGTACAAACCAGTCTCCCTTACCAAGCTGGTTAATCTTTTTTTTTTTTGGGGTACTGGGGATCGAACTCGGGACCTTCCGCTTGTGAGGCAGGCAGCAACACCACTGAGCTAAATCCCCGGCCCTATGCTGGTTAATCTCTTTTTTTTGGTACCGGGGATCGAACTCAGGTCCTTGTGCTTGCGCAGCAGGCAGCGAAACCACTGAGCTAAATCCCCAGCCCTATGCTGGTTAATCTTAATGGCCAATCAGCTTGATTAAGAGATTCTTAGAGAGATGTTGGATCACAGGAGTGCTATATGCATCAGTAGATTAACCCACTGATGTTCCTGGCTCATGTACTGTTAAAAGGTAGGGCCCAGAATGGGTCACGGAGGTGAGCCTTTGGAGGGTATATATCTGTCTCTGTCCCTGTTTGTCTGTCTGTCTCTCTCTTTTTTTTTTGAGATAGAGTCTCACTTTGAAGTCCATGCTGGTCTTGAACTCACTATGTAGCCCAGACTGGTTTCAAACTTGTGATCCTCCTGTCTCGGCCTCCCAAGTGCTGGGAATACAGGTGTGTGCCACCACACTTGGCTGGAGGGTATATCTCTTACCAGCACCCATTCCCTGTGCTCTGCTGCCATCATGAAGTAAGCAGCTTTGCTCCACCACACCCTTTTGCCATGATGTCTCTGCCTTGGAGCCAGCCGACCACAGACTGAAACCATGAGTCCAAATGAATGTCTTCTAAGTTCTGGGTGTCAGGTGTTTTGTCCCAAAAGCTGACCCATACATTTACCTACTTCAGGTCTTGGCTCACTGGTGATGCCTTCCTTCATCACCTCCCAAGTGCTTACCACCTCCCCCACCGCAGCACATATCTACTTTTATTTCCTGATCTTTTTTTTTTTTTTTTTTCTGGTACCGGCGAGCTAACTCGGGTCCTTGCGCTTGCACAGCAGGCGGCGAAACCACTGAGCTAAATCCCTGGCCCTTATTTCCTGTTCTTTGTCCATTAAAATGTTCACTTCACAAAGACAGGAACCTCAGGTGTGATGTGTCCACAGCCAATAAAGTGAATGTGCTAGAGATGAAAGAGAGTGGGCCAAAAAATGTACACATCGGGAAAAGAAAAACTTGTGTAAGTACTTTAATACTAAATTTACTGAGACATCATGAGATTAATACAAGTTACCTTTGGCCTCTGCAATTACTAGAGGTGCTCAAAGTGGTGTCTGTTAGCTTCCAGACATTTCTTAGTACAGCGAACTGCCGCTTGGGTAACCTTGGTCACTGAGACGGCTGCAAGTGCATTTTCAGTTTCTTCTCTAAGGGCCGGCAGGGTAGAGGGTTTTCTGCAATATACGACATCCTCTAGGGTCCGCATATGAGGTAACACCATCTGTTGAATAAACATCATACTATTTTTTCCTCCAGTGTGTATATAGCCTTTTGGCTCTCGCTCTCTATATATACATACACACACATATATGTATATATATGCACACTACATATATATACATAAATATAAAACCAAACATAATAATAATATATGGACATATAATTTCCAATAATGAGTAACATAATATCCATTTTCACTGTTTTCTTCTAAATAAACTCCTAGTTCTAGTCAGCATTTCTCCCTCTTTTCATTTTGTTTTGTTTTTTGAGACAGGATCTCGCTATGTAGCTCAGGCTGTCCTTGAACTCACTATGTAGCCCAAACTGGCCTCAAACTCCCCAATCCTCCTGCCTCAGCCTCCCGAACGCTGGAATTACAGGCGTGCACTACCATACCCAGCACTCCCGAGTTCCTTCTTTATTTACTTAACTTTAATTTCTTTTTTTTTTTTTTTTTGGTACCGGGGATCAAATTCGGGTCCTTGTGCTTTGGGCTTGCAAGGCAGGCTGCGGAACCACTGAGCTAAATCCTCAGCCCTTAACTTTAATTTCTTGTTTCCTTGTATTTCTGTTTGCTTTTATCTTGCTACCTCTAGGCCTAACCAGGAAGGGCTTCCATTTGGTTTGGGAGCTAACCAGAGTTTTCTCCACCTATTTGCCCCTTTCTTGGACCTCCTCCCTTTCTCCCCCGAGTTCTGGAAACCATAAAGCTGCCTACTATATCACACCTCTGTGACTCTGTGTCTTCTCAAGCTCTTCACACAAAATTCAAACCTCTAGATCCTTTTGCCAAGACAATTTCTGCCAGAATGTAGAAGGAGCACCTTAGCCTACTGCATCTTAGCAACATGGGTGCCCTGAGTGTTTGAGAAATGTGTAGGGAAATTTGGGGTTGTCACAATTATTGAGGGATAGAGGGAGATAGTGACCTGTAATTGATTTGCTAGGCAGCCTGCAATCCAGGAAGCCAACAGATTTTTTTTTTTTTTAGGTTTTTGAGACAGGGTTTTTCTGTCTTTTTTTTTTTTTTTTTTGGTACCGGGGATTGAACTCAGGTCCTTGGGCTTGCAAGGCAGGCACCAGAACCACTGAGCTAAATCCCCAGCCCAGGACAGGGTTTTTCTATGTAGCCCACCTACCTCCAAATTTCCTATGTAGCCCAGAATGGCCTCAAATTCATGATCCTCCTGCCTTAGCCTCTCAAGTGCTGGGACTACAGGTGTGTGCCACCATACCTGGATTTCCATCAGACTTTTGAATATCCTTCTGGACACCTACTGACATGTCTGAAGTTCTAATTAACTAAATTTTACACATGGTAAGCTATATTTTAATTTTAATATGAACTAAAATCTCTAAGAATTCTATGTGAAAAGCAATGAAGATTATGTTTATACATTTGTGTTTTGAGTTGTTTGAGACATGTTCTTGCTATGTAGCCCAAGCTAGCCTCCAACTCCCAGAGATCCTCCCTGCCCCAGCCTCACAAATATTAGGATTACAGGTGTGCACCACCACATCCGGCTATATTTTTATATTTGATACAGTAAGAACTTTGTCAGGAGTTGTTTGGCATTTAAAAATCAAACTGCCAACACTAAGTCCTCATAATGCTTGAGCAGCAGTAGAGCACCTGTTGCGGTTGCAGCCTTTACATTCATGGTTCTTGTGTATGAATGCAAGTAGATGATTAGTGTGTGTGTGTGTGTGTGTGTGTGTGTGTGTGCGCGCGTGTGTGTGTGTGGTGCTGGAGAATGAACCACATCTTTGTACCTGCAAATGTTCTACCACTAAGTTATTTAGTTACATCCCTACTTCCTGTGTATTTTCTACTGAAGACATGTTTTAGCCCTTATATTTTGAAATATATATTATTTTGCTGTTCCAAAATTTATTTCTTCTTTGCATTACAGCTAAAATAATTATCTTGTTTATAGATAGGTTATAATACCCATGATTTTCAGGCGTGGAGTGGTGGAACATGCCTGTAATCCTAGCACTTGGAAAGCTGAGGCAGGAGAATTGCCACAAGTTAGAGGCCAGCCTGGGCTTCATAGTGAATTCTAGGCCAGTCTGAACTGCATAGCGAGACCCTGTCTAAAAAAAAAAAAAATTAAAAATCCATGATTTTCACTGTAGGACAGTAATGAAAGATCTAGTCAAGATACATAAAGTGATGTTGCCAAAATTAAATTAAGAGCCATTAATATAACAAAACACTCTAAGATTTCCCCCTTTGTTTTCCAGGCTACTGTGGACCATAGGACCATGCCATACAAAACCCCATTCCTATTTTCAAAGGTCATAAGCTGCTGCTTCTGCTTTTTTTTTGTATTGAGGATCGAACTCAGGACCTTTCTCTTTCGAGGCAGGCAAGTGCCACTGAGCTAAATCCCTGGCCCTCATAAGCTTTTTTTTTTTTTTTGGTACCAGGGATTCAACTCGGGACCTTGCGCTTTCGAGGCAGGCGCCGCAACCATTGAGCTAAATCCCCGGCCCCATCATAAGCTTTTTTTAAGGAACATAAGCTATTTTATAGGTTCACAGAGGGTGCCGATGGTACCAAATAAGAGGTGTATGGACGTTGGTCCTTAAGAATTTAAATGGTCGAGGGCCGGGGATTTAGCTCAGTGGTGCCGCTGCCTGCCTTGCAAGCGGAAGGTCCTGAGTTCGATCCCCAGTACCAAAAAATAATTTAAATGGTCGGGCCGGAGATAGCTCAGTGGCGCTGCGCAAGCACAAGGTCCAGAGTTCGATCCCCGGTACAAAAAAAAAAAAAGAATTTAAATTGTCTTACATACGTGATCTGCCTTTGATGTATAAAATGTCTTCTGATCTACTGGCCCAGTGGATTATATAAAAATGAAAAAAATACACATTGCTTGTTATATTACTGATTCATTGCTACATCTTTGTTTTTTGTTTGTCAGTTTTGGTTTAGTTTTTTGAGACGGGATCTTGCTATGTATTTCAGGCTGGCCTTGAACTCGTGGCAATTGATCCTCCTGGCTCAGCCTCCAGAGTGCTGGGATTACAGGTGTGTGCCACTACGCCCAGTTTACTACATCTTTTCTCATAGGCGATCAGAAATCACAGATAAAGCCACTAAGATTCTCAATCAGATAAAACCTTAGAACTTTTTTCTTTTTTTTGGCACCGGGGATTGGCCTCAGGACCTTGTGCCTGTGAGGCAGGCGGCGGAACCACTGAGCTAAATCCCCGGCCCCTTAGAACTTTTTTCATTATGGTCTATCGGCCTCCTCTCGGACGAAAAAGAAAATCAAGATCCAAGAAAGTTAAATGATTGCCTACAGTTCTAAGACATCTTCCGAAGCAAGAGTGTTAGAATACACAGCATGCCCTATTACACTCGCTTTTCTCACCCCAAGTTGTAGATGAAAAGTCTGATGTTACCAAAGACTCAATCAGACGCGAGCAGCAACAGCAAGCAGGAGTAGAACCCCGCCCACCTCATGACCACCCCGTCCTGCCCCCTAGGGCTGTCCGCCTTGGTGCCTGACTGGCGGCCAATGGAGGGGTCCTCGTGGGGTCCTTCGTGCGGGCTCCCGACGCACTGCCTGAGTGGGTGCGCGGGCGGCTTCCGGTGTGAGTGACGAGTGGTGGCCGCAGTAGGGGGACAGCAGGGGACTTTCAGGCAGGGACGATGGCGGACGGCGGTTCGGAGCGGGCTGATGGGCGCATTGTCAAGATGGAGGTGGACTACAGCGCCACGGTGGATCAGCGTCTGCCTGAGTGCGAGAAGCTGGCCAAGGTGAGGGGAGGCCGGCTGGCTGTTGGCGGGCACCAGGGGCTGAGTCACGGCGCGGAGCCTGCTTAGGCCTCAGGGGGCCTGCGTGCTGGAGCGCGCATCCCCTGTTGCCTGTCCATCCCAGGCATGCTTGAGGGATACCCCAAGGAGGCCCGGCCAGGAAGACTCCGCAGCCCGAATTCGCTAGTGCATACACGTCTTCCCAGACCCTCACCAAGACAGATGCTTACTTCTTCCTCGTAGGAGTTGGGTCCCCGTTTTACTTCTTTGCCTTTCTTGGATGCTGTTTAACGTTTAGTTAAGTAATTTCCCAGAGGTTAAGGCCGCTTCAACATTCAGGCCAGATCAGAGAGGTTGGTTCTACCGCTGTGGCCTAATCAGGGTCTGTCGTTAAATCGATTATGAGTCATGGCAATATGCCTGGTCTTTGGCCTGGAAAAGACGCAGGAAAGTGATGGAACAAAGATAGTTAACGCGGGACACGTACGTAACGATTTAGTCAAGTCATGCACGGTGGTGAGCCATACAAGTGTAAAGTGTTACTCGAACATGGAAGGAAGCTGTTACTTTCTTTCTTCCTGCTGAGAAGGTGACGTTTGTATTGGGTTTTAATAAGTAGTAAGATTGGGATAGAAAATAATTATTCCTAGAGGGAGAATTATAGGAGGAAAGACAAGCAGGGCACTGAAGTGCAGAATAACCTACTTAGAGGAAGTAATAAACAATAAGCAGCCCAACTGTTTAACCACCATGGAATAGCACGTGGTTGTTTATTTGGGGCGCTGGCGTCTGAACCCAAGGCCTTGTGTGTGCTAGGCAAATGCTTTACTATTGAGCTACATTCCCAACCTCTCTAGGATGCAGTAGAAACTTGACTTGGCCCAAACGTTTTGAGGCCACCTGCTATGTGTCAGGCAACTTTGTGTATCATTTTACACGTAAAGAAACCAAGACTCAGAATTATTTGCCCAAGGTTATAGGTAGTACTATGTAGAATCCAGGATTCAAAACTAGATTTGCCTCGTTAGGGTATGGCGTCATGGCTAAAGCAATTCTGTCATGGGTATTGCTAGGGGAGGGATTAACACTAAGGCCTTATTAAATTCCTAAATCAATTCAGTCACAAACTTGTGTTACTATCCACGTGGTGAACATTCACTGAAAGTGTTTTTCTTCCTAAGGAGCTTACTACTATGTAGTAAATTAATAGGGAAGAAAAATATCAAGCCATGTATCACATTTAGTTCTTAGAAGGAAACTTTTTAAATTTTGAGATAAGTTCTTGTGAAGTTGCCCAGGCTGGGCTAGATCTTATGATCCTTCTGCCTCACGTTCCCAGAGTGCTGGGATTGTAGGCCTGTGCTGCCACACCTGGCTGAAACCTTTTTTCTTTTCATTTTATTTTTTAGAGATTTATTTATTTGTTTGTTTTTTGGAGACATGGTCTCCCTATGTAGTTCTAGCTGGACTTGAATTTGGCAGCAATCCTCCTGCCTCAGCCTCTCAAATGCTGAGATTACAGGCATACATCACCATGCTCAGCTTTGAAGGAAACTTTTTTTTTTTTTAAGAGTAGGAAAAATTTATTGAGGGAAAGAGCTGCTGCCTGAGAGGAACAGGAGGAACAGGAGGGGACACCTGGAAGTGGGTTGCTCACCCATCTCGCTTCTGAAGGAAACTTTTTTAATACTTTCCCTTTTTTTTCTTTTTTTTTTTTTTTGGTACCGAGGATCGAACCTAGGACCTTGCCCTTGCTAGGCAAGTGGGTGCCACTGAGCTAAATCCTCAGCCCCCCCAAAAAGGTTTTAATAGGCCTTTACAAAAACAGGGATGGAAGAAAAAAACAAACCAGGGATGGAGAAAGATGACGAAATTTTTTTTAGATGATGAAATTGACGTGTATTTCTTAGGTTCAGAATATTTACTGAGAGGGAGCCATAAATCCATCTCGGAGCTTTCTAGCAACTAGTGTTAAGAAAATCATCGATTACATAAGGTTGGGAAAACTCAGATGCTGCAGTGTCAGGCAGATAACAATAGCTGGTGTTTATTGTGTCTTTTCTATGTGCTAGGGACTCTATTAAGTGCTTTTATGCACTAATTCATTTGATCTTTCCCTCAGCCCTGTGCAACAGATAGCATTTTCTTCTGTTACAAACAAGGAAACTGAAGCTAGAGGAAGTTGAGTCACAGGCCCCAGAGTCGCACAGCTAGTAATGCAGCGGAGTCAGGATTGGAACCCAGGCAGACTTATTCTAGAGCTTGTGCTGTGAGCCAAGTGGAATGAGAACCTGAACTGAGCACCTGTCCAGGGAAAGGAACAGTTCTCTACCTCTAGTCAGTCTTTACCAACTGAGGGTGACGATGATCCTTGTGGACACTACTAATTTGAGAGAGAAACCAGGACATGAATTTTTATGCAAAATACCCTAATACTTAGAAACTGGACCCTAGGGCTGGGGATATAGCTCAGCGGTGCAGCACTTGCTTGGCAAGCACCTAGGCCTGAGTTTGATTCCCGGTACCAAAAAAGAAACTGGATCCTAATCTATCTTATAGTACTCTTTGTTTTTTATTTTTTTATTTTTATTTTTTGGTACCAGGGATTGAACTCGGAACCTTGTGCTTGTGAGGCAAGCGGAGGAACCACTAAACTAAATCCCTAGCCCTGTCTCCAGTGTGGTATTGATCAAACAAAACATACCTGCAGGCCAAAGTCAGCTCTCTCAACGTTCCACTTTCTAAGTAATAGAATAATAGTGTCCATGAAAAAGAAAGAAATTTGCTTTAGAGAACTACAAATCTGCCTAGAATTGAAATCTACGAGGAAAAAAAATGTCTTTACAGTTTCTTCTCTAGCAGCCTACTGTATTAATACATAGCCAGTGCTAGATACTTCAGGAAGTATAAAGATTAGTAGTAGTAGTAGTAGTAGTAGTAGTATTTGGTACCAGAGATCGAACTCGGGACCTTGTGCTTGCAAGGCAGGCGGCGGAACCACTGAGCTAAATTCCCAGCCTAAAGATTATTATTGCCCTCAAATAGCTTATAGACCAGCAAGAAAGAAAGCTGTCACTGCTGCAGTTGTACTAGTGATGAGAGGTGTGACATTTATTTAGACAATTGTTGTTACGTTAAGACAGTTGAAAAGATCTTCAAACTCAAATACCAGGTGCCTTTCTGGTGTTAAGTGAATAATAGAAGTCTTTAAAACAAATAATGTTAGATAAAGTGAAAGGTATGTGAATTCTTGCTTTTTGTTTAAGTCAGTGTGTTAGCTAAACAAATCCTATGTGTAGGGTTTTTTTGTGTGTGTGTGTGTTTTCATGAGGGAGGAGAGCTAGGAAACAGGAGGATACACATTTTTTTTTCCTGCTGCACACAGCTTCACCATTTTCAACTTTTAGATTAGGTGATTGTCTTCCAGTCTGGGTTAATTTTTTAAAAGATATGTTTCTCTTTTGCATTTTACTCATTATATCAATCCTGTGTAGGGTGGGTTCTATTCTTATGTTCACTTCTCTGAAGAAAAAAGTGGAGGGTCAGAGAGGTTTAAGTTTTGTGCACAAGGTAACATGGTAGTAGATCTCAGAGTTGGACCAGTCTCTGGCTGCAGAGACTGTATTTTTAGCCATTTCATTCTAATGCTTCTGTGACTGATATGTGAGGGCCTAGTATCAGAGTGATGAGGTAATAAAGGCAGTACTAGTTCCTGATGACGGTTGTCCCTTCACTTTGCATTGTGTGGATGAGTTAAAAATTAAAGGGGGCTTTTCTGAATTGTAAAGATAATGCATTTAGAAGTGTGTGAGTGTGTGTGTGCGCGCTTGTGTGTGTGTCCCGTATGGGAGATCAAACTCAGGACCTTGCACTTGCCAGGCAGGCATGGGGCCACTGAGCTACGTCCCAAGCCCTAGCTTTTGGTTTGGTTTGGTTTGGTTTGGTTTGGTTTGGTTTGGTTTGGTATGGTACCGGGGAACGAACTCAGGACCTTGTGCTTGCCAGGCACCTAGATGTTTTTAATACATAGGTTTTTTGAAAATCGAACCAGCACCTCACACTGAGCCACATCACTAGGCCTATTCTCCCTTTTTGTTTTGCTTTTTGAGACAGGGTCTAGCTATGCAGTTCAGGCTGGCCTTGAACTCATGGTGATCCTCTTGCCTCAGCCTCCCAAGTCCTGGGATTACAGACATGCACACTGGCACTCTCCCTTTTTGTTTTTTATTTTTTATTTTTTTGGTACCGGGGATCAAACTCGGGTCCTTGTGCTTGTGCAACAGGCAGCGAAACCACTGAGCTAAATCCCCAGCCCGCTCCCTTTTTGATTATGGTATATTTGGCACATGGTTATCTGAGGACTACTTACATTCTCTTTTTTTGTTTTGTTTTGTTTTTGGTACTGGGGAATCGAACTCGGGTCCTTAACGCTTGTGCAGCAGGTGGTGAAACCACTGAGCTAAATCCCCGGCCCTACTTAACATTCTTTTTTGTTTGTCTTTAGTGTGTGTGTTTCCCCATACTGGGAATTGAACCCAGGGTCTTTGCACTGAACTATATCCGTAGCCCATTTTTAATTTTGAGACAAGGTTCTCCTAAATTGCTAAATTGCCGAGGTTCAGCTTGGTTTGAAACTGTGATTCTCCTGCCTAGGCCTCCCTGAGTTAAATCCCAGTGTGCTGGTTTTACAGGCCTGTGCCACCAGATCTGGTTGCTACTTATATCTTTTATTTTTTGGTACTGGGAATCGAACTCAGGACCTTGAGCT